AAAACGAATAAATAATCCATCAGGCAAAGGATCTCAAATACGGATGCATTGCATCTCGCTTGGTGGCAGCCAGAGGCAAGCCGTAGTTTTCTGTTCTACGTCTTCTTGGTTTATCACCGAACTAAAAAATACAATTCCTTAAACGAATCAGGAAGATAGTTGACGCAACTGGTAGAAGGAAGATAAAGATTAATTGGGGCTGGAATCCTCAGAGTACCACCCGACGTTTTGCTTAATTACTTAGCGCTGAAGAAGTAACCTCTGAAGGCAAAAACATCGGCTGTCACTTGAAGCTCCTATGAAAATTGATTCATTAGCATTCTGTTTTTCTTTTCTTTTACCTTATAATTTAGTAATTATGTTTCTGCGCTTTATTTAATAGGTGGACAAATAGAAGCGTATTAAAAAATATTATAAGGTCCCTCAAGATATTGGATTTCTAAGAAAAAGAAAGAGTTCAGTTGTGTCTTTGAAGAATAGTACTTGTTTAAAAAGAACATTCAAAATATTCACCTTCACCAAGTGTCATTCATAATCAAAAATTCGATAAAACAACGCTCTGTTACAATTTTTAATGAATTATGTAAACTAATGCGAATTGGCTACCATCCTCCCATTTACAGTGGCAATACGACGTCCCGGTTTGGTTCTGGTGCAATTCACTGAGGTTAGGCAGTGAAGCTTCACTGGGCTTGTGTGGCGCCGGCGTTTACCCAAAAGTTGATGGGAACCGCGCAGATATTTTTGTTTGTTTTAATGGAAATATTTCTTTACAATACTAAAGATGACAACTAGTTTCAAATTAGACGTGTAGTGTAACAAATGAACAGTATATTATGCCGTTTATTGCAACGTTTTAATTTAATTTAATAACGTGTCTTAGAGAAAAAAAGAAACAGCAACCTACCAAAACGATCCCTCAATGCGCATTCCACGCCATCAAGGTTGCACCTCCCGGCAGACAATAAGTGACAGATTGTTTCTTCGTATTATGAGCTGCAAATCAAGGTAACGTATGTGTTGCCTAAACTGAATCAGAAAAGTTTAGTCTGATCCTTTTCAGTTATGATAAGCATTTCAGGACTATCCTAGAGCCACCGAAGAATCTGGGCTTCAAAGAAACTAATCTTCAGTCTTCTTGTTGCTTAAATAATTTTTGTCCATTATTTGAAGCTTTATTTGATATCGCAAAAAACGCTTTTCCGTCCTCCCAAAATGCTAAAAATACTTTTCGGCAGAGAAACACATGAACTCCTTGACGCCGTACCCAGAATTCAGGACGCCCTATATTTCAATCACAACTATCGCCAATTGCGCGTGCTCTGTACGACGCATCAAAATGGCGGCGCCTTCAAAATAATCAAATAATAAGGTGCCGATAACTCTAGACACAGCCTATTTAGTGGCTCTAGACAATACTAAACACTTCCTTGCCCTCACAGTCTTTTGGTTTCTCTGTCGCTTTTTGCGCAGGACTGGTGAACATCAGCGGTGGTGCGCTGGAGTGGAGCACGATCGTGTTCTACAAACCAAACGTGACGTACGAGATACTGGCCAAGCTGGAGAAGCCAGATCGGCCGCCATCTTGGGGTGCCATCCAGCTGGTGCTCATGGAGAAGGTGCCGCCTTCCATCAGTGTGCAGTGAGTCAGCAGATCACACGTTGATCTATTTCTACCGCTTACAGTGGAAGGTACCTTTTAAGAGCGTCCTCCTGTCAAAGAGAACTTTATCGTCGATCAACAATGCACAAACAAACAGTGTTCCGAAAAAGCTAAAAAGAAATTAAGAAACGCTAAAAAGTGTCGCTGTGGTGGAGCCCCTGAGAAACAGCATTACCAGTACCAAACTGCGTCTTTACTTGACAACGTTTTTTTTATTTTGCGAATTTAACTATCCTGCATGTCATACACTGGTTCTAAAGGGTGATTCCCCCCCCCCCCCCCCCCCCCCCCCCCCCAAGGAGAGGCCAGGCTCTTCAAATCGACCGTAAAATTCGGTTTCTTAACCTATCGCGCTACGACTTTGTGCAGCGTTGCCCAGATATGGTGCATTTTTTTTTTTTGTAAAATTTGCAAAGAGCGAACTTAGCTGAGAAAAAAGTAAAGAAAGAAAAAGGCTTAGCTCCTATAAAAACGCAGTGACACCACCAGTCTTGAAACAACACGGTGCCGTTTCGCACGGGAGACAAGAGATGGCGCAAGCGGTCGCGACGCCAACTGTCGTTAACGAACGAGCATACGACGCCGAGAGCTGGCGTCTTTAGCAGACAAGAAACTGCGGTTCCTTGTTGTTACCGCGCTTGTTTTTGTTTCTGCGACTGTCGCCGCCTGCTGAACGCGCGCCGCTTTTGAGTCGAAAAGTTCGTCTGCTAAAGACGCCGGCTATCGGCGCCGTATGCTCGTTCGTTAGCGTACGCTGGCGGCGTTCGTAGCGCCATCTCTTGTCTCCCGTGCGAAACGGCGCCATGTTGTTTGAAAACCGGTGGCCTCACTGCGTTTCCATAGGAGCTAAGCGTTTTTCTTACTTTACTTTTTCCTCAGGTAAATTCGCTCTTTGGAAATTTTACAAAAAAAAAAATGCTCCATCTGTGGGCAACGCTACACAAAGTCGCAGCGCGATAGATTAAGAAACCGAATTTTGCGGTCGGTTTAAAGAGCCTGGCCTCTCCTTAAATCACCCTGTAGTAAGAATGATGCAATCAAGCGGCAGCGAGGCAACGAGGCCGGGAGCATTAAGTGTTATACTGGAAGATAGAACGTATGACACCTTTCCGATAAGAGTTCTGCGCTTGCTCTAGCTCTGCTTCCACCTAAGGCTGAAGGGGCCTACAAGTTTGTGTGGAAAAGTGGAAGCTAAGTCGGCTTGTTAGTACAAATGTCTTATTCGAGACAATCTGGAACAATTCATTGACAAAGCTGGAGCGTGGGTTCATGAGACGCGATCTTCACGTGCCATACTGCTGGAGCGATAGACCTCTGGCAGTGTTTTATTGCAGAAAATTCTGTTTCGAGTAAGCTGATGACAATTGTTCTGAGAGTAAATATCAAACGTTGAGAGCGAGGCACACACACATGCTGGAGAATGTAGTTTGCACGCTGGGTTGTTGGCTTGCAAACCTTGAAATGTTCCATACAAGCTATCAATACTCAAACTCAGTGCTGTACGAAACGGCGTTTCAAAAGATGGCGTTCTTGGAACGCGTTCTTATTTGGAAGAACGGAGAAACGCCGCCCTTCTATCTTGCATCGACCGAAGCTAAAACAGCAATTCGAAAATTAAAAAAAAAAAGAAAAAAGAATTGCTAGAAAAAAAAGTTGTTTTATTGTATATATATCTTTTGCAATTTTGCCCGACGTTAGGAGACATTGCAGCTTTTTGTTACCTCTATTTCAACTTCCGACTTTAAGGGATGAGGAAGTGTCCGAGGTAATCAAAAACAAAGGACCGGAACACGTTGCGACCCGACACGTAGCTCGAGGAGAATATTTTAACTTCCTCGCTTTATTTTATCTTTAAATTATCCAGCCCAATATTTTATTAAAATTTGCAAATGTAACGTTAAAAAAATGAAACTTTTCTACTTTAGGAATGTATTGGGAACGCGTTCCTTTCGAACAATTAAAACTTGTAATGAGAACTAGATCCAAAATGGAGAAGGAGCGAAGAACAAGCTTTCGTTCCGGTTTTTGAGAAAGCTTTACAACACTGCTCCTTTTTTTGTTACCACTGGTTCTGTCACTTCTCGGAGCTGTAGCTTAGGTCAAAACTTCATTTCACAAGTTTGTAGCGGGAAGTGTGATGTCGATATCTCTGGGTCTAAACGAAGGCGGAGATACAACTTCTGAATCTCCCTACTCTTTTGATGTTGTTGGTTGTCCATAGGGCTAGACGGGACAAGACGAAAAAGGTTGTTCTGTCCGATTGCGCCATACAGGTGCCAGACTGAGAAGCTGTGCTACCCGAACGACCCGATCGGCCAGAAGATCAACCCAGTGCGCGTGGGTCTGATCGGTCTATGCATCGAGAACTGCGACGGAGAGATGGTCTACAGCTGGGAGGTGTTTGGCAGCGACAACCTCACCGAGGTCTATCTGGAAGACGCCAGGGACTACCTTGTCGGTGAGTAAGCTACAGGATCATTTGAAACGTTTACCCCCGCGTCTTTGTTTTGATTCGGAAGAAAAAACCAATTAGTTGCACTGAAAGTTTGTTGCTCACAAATTCATGGCTTTAAAATCGGTGACGGTTGAATAAATTGCCTTGATTGCCAAAGCGATGATTTAGTAAAACAAATCAAACTTTACACTTCTATACAACCAAAGTAAGTCTTTCCACTATTTACAAATAAGTAAAACTTAACCTTGAAACGAAAATGATCTACCTCAAAGTGCTAGCCACTTCAGCAATCCAGATTGTGAAGAAGCTGGACGATAGCGTCACCAAGAATTTCATCTTTCAGAGGTATACGTTTCTGGAGCACTATTTCATGACAGTGGCTTTTAATTTTTAGTTAAAAGCAGACCTAATGAACATTCACTAAACTGTTGCTTGACTGACTGTTGCTGATACCGCTACGCTATATTAAAAACTATGTTACCATCCAAAGAACAACGTTAACGGTCCCAGTTAACAGTATGGTACCTAAGCAACAAAGCCAGAAAGCAATCTTCCTTCTTCGCAATAAACAAAAAAATGCTGCGCTTACTTTTATGTTTACGTGCTTTTCTGGCGCGAGACAGTTAGTGGAAATACATGCGGCGGCCACATATCAGCGGGTTTACTGATTAACAAAACGTTTCATGACTCTTACCGGATTCAAGCAGCTTTTGATAAAATTACAGGTTAAAATTTCGGAAGAAAAACAAGTTTAATAGACACTTGTGGATTGATTCCCGTTCAGTCGAGCGCCAATGTCTAAAATATATTCAAGCTGATTTTGTATGTTAAAGTTTATCGCCTTCTACTCGGTCGGCATACCCAGGTGCGACGGAACAGAAGATGGCTCTGTCGGACGACTTCTTCAAGGTCTACTATCCCACTTTCGGTGATTTCGTGGCCCGGCTGACGGTGACCAACCAGTGGGGAGTCAGCGGGGTCAGTGACCTCTTTCTGCACATCAACAAGCCCCCCGAGAACGGCCAGTGCAGCTTCGAGCCCAACGAGGGCAGAGCCCTCATGGACAAGTTTAAGGCGTCCTGCTCAGACTGGACAGATCCCGAAGGACTGGACATCGAGTTCTTCGCCTTCTGGGGTACGGACATCTAGTTTAATCTCTACACTCTAAAAAAATGGTCTGTGAGTTTGCTTTCCCGCGTAACACGTGACAACGAATCACGGCGAACAGGAGGATCCCTGAAAATAACGAAGCTCAGAATCCATTTGATCTGAAAGGTGGGATGTGCGTAGGGACACGTCACGCTCATCACCCCTGCATAGTCTTGTACAAGGTACGGCCGAAAAGGCCCACACATTTGGCAAGGATTGCAAAATTCCAATTCCTAACGCACATACTTGAAATCGGGCAGGCGAACGTAGTTCCGCCAAAAGCTTGTCTATTTTTTTTTTTTTTTTTCAGAATTCAATTTTTAGGTAGTGAAATATTAAAAATTTAGCAAAGTCTGAGGCCGTGCATTTCCTATGCCCTATAGCGGATGTTCGTCGTCTGCACACTGCTGTGTGAGCTTCTTCCCAGGTGGTAATTGTTAATATATTTCGTCAAACGTATTAACTATCGCGATAATCTTGTTCACTGCCAGCCTCTAGCTGTTATTGGATTTTAGCGTTTTTGCGTTCAGCAAGCCACCCGGGACCGAGCTCATAAACCAGCGTGCAGATAACAAACAGGCTGGTGTAGGACGTGAGAAATACACGTCTTCGAGTTTGCTTTATTTTTAACATATCACTACCTCCGAGCTGATCTCTGAAAAAAAAAAAAAAAAACATAAAGCAGCTTGCAAACCTATGTTTGGGTGCCCGATTTCAGGTAAGCCCATTTGGAATTGGAATTTTGCAAGGTGTGGCAAATCTCTTGGTCCTTACGACCGCACCCTGTACACGTTACTCGAAAAAAATTAATCCAACGCGGAGAGCAAATCGTCCAGCTGCTTCTTGCACAGGAGTGGCGGTGACGTCAGAACGACGCCGAGCTCTTATTGGCCGATTAAAAAAAATATATATATATAGTGGGTAGACCTCAAGGCATCTAGCATTGAGGTCTACCTACAACTTGTTTCAATCATCCAATAAGAGCTCAGCGTCGATCTGACGTCACCGCCACTCCTGTGCGAGAAGCAGCTGGACGATTTGCTCTCCGCATTGGATTACAATTACTCTTGATAAAAGAAGTCAATTAGATTACTCAATTACTCGAGAAGAAAAGTAATTGGCCGTTACTTGAAAAGGTAACCCTTACTTTTCCGGTTCCTTCAGATATTAAAAAACGACAGCTTTTTTTCGGTCGATTGGAAAACGGGGTTCTGTACTGTACGCTATTGGATTAGAATCACCTAATTAAAAATTACTTATCTTCTTAATTTACCAATTTCGGTAAACCATTCTTATGTCGGGGGCCTGGTACATCAGAGGATTCCTTTGTAGAAACCTTGTAGAAACCAGGGGCGCCGTTAGCAAGGGGTGGGAGAAATAACTACGGTTAGAAGTAATTTTAGTACTTACAAAGGTATTCAGATTACTGTGGGGATTACTTCCTAATAAACGTATCCGAGCGATTACGAAATTACCCCAGAGGGTAATCCATTTACCGTGCGAGTCTGTCCGTGCGCACATCCCATATTTCTTACTCTAACCGTATTTCGAGCTTCGTCGTTTACTGGAATCGTGTTTTTTTTTTTTTCGCCGTGATTTGTTGTCTCGTGTTCTGTGGAAAAGCGCACTCAGAGACAGTTCTTCAGAAATGTGGTCACCGACAACCCGAAAAACGCTAGCCGTGATTCATAATGTCGGCGATTCTTGCTTCATGGTGCATTCTTCGGCTTCCCTATCGGCTAATGCTGCAATCTTATTGGCCGTGAAGTGATAAGGAGAGGTCATGCCTTTCTCAAGCTATATGTGTGGGAATCACGTGATTCGATCCCCCATGCTAATCTTGGAAGAAGGTGGGAAAACTACTATATGCTATTCAGCACCACGTAACTGTTCCTTTACTGTTGTTTACGTGGTATCCACTGGCGGTGAACTCTAACAATACCTAGGTAATGAGCACGTTACGTCATCGATAGGCTTCGTGGACGAAAAAAAAAGTGCTGTAAAATGACTTAGATGTCATCGTCCAACACCACCGCGTGAGTATGAATGCTTATTTGAGCTTGATTTGCTTCCTTTATGTAGCTTGAGCGCCGTACGAACAATCCTTTCTAGTGGCGCATTGGAAAAAAATCACGTCCAAGTGACAAAGCAAAGGTCTATATACCTGCAGGATGAAAGAAAGACATCGATGCACTCTCGAATTTTTTCTTCTCCTTACCTGATTTAGATTAAAATTTGTTGAAAACGAGTTGCAAACGAGTAATGGAATCAGTTTTGTACAAAGGGAAAGGAAGAAATAAGGAGTAAACACGGCTTACCCTTTGAGGAACTCCGAAACATACACAGTTCAATAGCGCCGGTGAGTCTAGACAACCATTTACAACCTTGTACAAGAACATCAAATCTCGAATCATTCGTCTAGTACATAAGTGTTTTAAGCCTATCAGAATAAAAATTCTATCATAGTCATAAAATACACTGGGTCGTAAATAAAAATCATAAAACGCACTTGTAATTTTTTTTTGGAGACGCTCAATACTAGACGATTTTGGTGACTCCAATGGAGTTCCACACGACTGAGTCACACCCGAGGCGCTTCGCATAAGCGAACAAAATAAGACGAGAAAGCAAAATGGGTTAGATGTTAGATAAACGCGTTGCCGTTATGACACCCACGCGTAGAAACGAATTGACAACATGCGTAACTTGATGATTAAATTAAATCTCAGCGAACACCCAAGTCTCGAATCAGAACTGCATAATATTACGTTTTTTACCTATAAAGAACTAACCTCTGTTCTCGATTCGTTCAGAACAAGACTAAGTCAGTGACAGGTTAAAAACCCGGTAGAATCTCCGCTTCGAGTGCGAGAGCTTTTTGCCTTTGATGGCACTCCGCCGCGAATTTTTGTTTCCACCTCCCCTTTGGCTATGCTACTTTTTCCCCTGCATATGAGAATATTATTTCTCGTAGACATTGACTCGCTCCTTTTACTTTGTGGCAGCCGCCATTCCTTATTCACTGTGAGCACAAGAAACACAGGACACACTCTAAAAAAAAGGGTATCACCTTACACCCTTTTGTCCCATATAATACACCCCAAAACTTCATTTCGATGTACAGCACCCTATAGTCGAACAGACGGCACGAAATTTAACCAGGGGCTTGATAACGGTGCGATATGACTTATTAAATAGCTAAAGTACGTATCAAAGACTAAAGAAAGAAAACACGGAGCTTTTGCAGTACGGCCAAGAAAAGTCCGATAATCTTTTTTGTAGTCAATAATACGTACATCAGCTATCTTAATAAGTTGTACCACACGGCTATCAAGCCCCTTGTAAACTTTGGGGACGCCTGTTCGATTATGGGGCGCTGTACGTCGAGTTAAAGTTTTGGGGTGTATTATATGGGACAAGGGGTGTAATAATACACCTTTTTTTCTGGGAGTGCATGGCTCATAATGTTCACGATTCTTGCTTCGTAATTTGTTCGTAAGCGTTCTCTTTTGCTAAGATTGGAATCTGACTGACTCCAGAGTGACAGTAAGAAGCTTGAGGCTCTCCACCGCTCTAAGTTTCTCTAAAGACCGACGACAAAATCTAGCTTTTCCCTTTTCCCTCGCTTCCTACTCTCCCCCTTCCACCTTGTCCACCGTTGCCTGTTTCCTCCTCTCTACACCATGATGAGGAAGATCTTCTGCCTTGCAGAATCTCGAGTCTGGTCGTCGGCCTTTAAGTCGTGACTGTAAACGCTGATGCGCTTGGTGCGTGCTTCCCCCTCTTGCCAAACGGCCAGGCACGTGGGGTTCCCGACTGTCTTCGCATTCACCCGCTGCGCCAATCTCTGTCTTCCAGTGCGCGACATGGCGAACGGCGCGCTGACTTTCCTGACGTACGGCCCGGACTCCGAGGTAACGCTGCTGCTGCCTCACGGGGAGTTCCAAGTCGGCGCCGACGTCAAGGACAAGGAAGGCGCCACCACCCGGGTCAACATGACCACACTCGCTGTAAGTGCTCGAAAGAGGAGAGCGCTCGAACATCTAATTCGGCTCCCCACAAGCGCACGAAAGCTCTTTTGTTTATTCATTTATTTATTTGTATTCGTTGCTTTACGCCGAACGATCACCGGTGCCTTGGGGCGACATTGAATAGGTTCTTGTTTTCCACCTTACATTCTTAGAAATAGGGGATGTATATCGGTACACCCCGTGTCCCATACGTAACACCCCATAACGACATTTGAACTCTCAGTCCAATGACGTCCACCAGGCGCTACCAACTTCGACGAGCGGCTTGATATCTGTTGAAAATAACGTACTAAATAGCTAATGTGCCTATCAAAGACAAGAAAACAAAAACACTGAGGTTTTGCAGCAGGGTCCAAAAAACCTTGATTGTCTTACTGTAGCTTCTAGTCCGTATACATTAGCTATTTTAATAAGTGGCATCAGTCGACTATCAAGCTGCTCTTGAAGGTTGGTATCCCTGTTTCGATGTCTGTGAATTGGACGTCGAATTGTTGTTTGGGGTGTTACATATGCGACACGGGGTGTGCCCCTATACACCCCTTATTTCTTAGAGTGTCTATACATTTCGTTCGCATGTTTTATACGACTCTTAGCCTTTTGGTGTGGTAACGAAAACAAAAAGGTGAATAAAAGTTAAACAGAGCCTAGCAAGGTTTCAGCGCGTATACCACACTTCATGTGAAGCATTGACAAAACGTACAGTGCAGAATAAAAATGCGTCCACCACTCAACAGTGGCCACACGAGACGTTCATGGGCAAATGGTCTCTTAAAATTAGTTATATGTCGCATGTTACTGCGCCCTCTGTAACTTTAGCGACATTTTACTGCATTACATACACGTTGTATTAGAAATGTAGCCTGTCATAGTAATTGCCCTCAATACTGCAATTACAAGACCTTTAAAAGCAATAATTGAAAATATAATTAACAATAAATTTTGAGTTAATTGTTGAAGGTACCTTGATGTTTACTCCAATATTCAATGTGCCTCTAGGCTGATAAATACATCGTGAAGGCGTAGCCGTGTAACTCACTATTTGTTTTTTTGCCGGTTCGAATTAAAATTATGCAGCCTGTATATAAATGAATGTCCGCATAGCAGCTTTCAGGACACCTTTCGTGAGTGTAACAATAACATCCAAGAGATCATAGTATTGTACACTCTCCACAACTTTTATAGACGCAACAATTCGAGAAGGGTGATTTTAGTTAATTAAACAAAAACGAATACAAGGACGTAGTTTGCTCCTCTCTTGTAATACTCATTTGACAAAAAGTAAATTTGTTCTGACATGTCAATAAAAATAGATAGACTAGTAGCCTAGATTATAGGATAAAATAATTTCTTCGCGAAGTTCTCAAATTTTTAAATTTAGACCCGCTGGCAAAACTAAAAACGTGGCTAGGTGGCGCAAGCTACTACCTTTTATAAAAGGTACAGCTATTGGCATCCATCCATCCGTCGATGTTGCAATTTGGTTAGTGCAACCTGATTCCGGTGAATTACAAAATGATTGATGGTGCGAAATGAATATTGCGGAAGCTCAATCTAGCAGAACGAGAAAAACAAAGGCTCGACATGCCGCGTTCATTGAACTGCCTGCTCAACCTGAATGTTTTACAACACGTGACGTTAAGAGAAATTGCGGGAAAATTTGAATGTTCGTTTTGGCGTCACCCTCGATTGTCGTTTTTTTTCAATAGCTATTTCGAATATAAAGATAATTAATAGCTTGCCGGGAAGAGTAAAACACGGGCATTCCGAAGATGTAGTTAGTTTGCCTACCTCCAGAAAACAGCACAGCTCCACTGAACGCGTGTTTGAGCCACCACATCTCCCCCGTGCTCCTCCTCGGCAGACGTACCTTCCAACGAGGCAGGAGTTCGAGCGGTACCTCGGCGAGCGGTCACTGGACAACGCGGACGCCGCCGGAGACCAGGCCCGCATGAACCAGATGTCGCAGGCCATCGCGTCCCTCATGAACGTGCGCCTTCCCGACGAGATGGAGAACGAGATCAACTACTCCGGTGCGTCCATATTTGGGTTGCCAGCATGCTGTTGCTTTTTTTTTCAGACTATAGTTTGCATTTAGTGTATAATCCGCAACAACAGATTTCGGCCAAAAGAAGAGAAAAACGTATTTTATGCCAACAATGTTCGAAGAAACGAAAACAATAGCTGTAGCACGGTCACGCAAAGCGGGTGGAATGGTGCTGTTACGTACCTGAGGACGGAGGTACGACGTGGTTAATTTTTATAGCCGTTACGGTTGGCGTCGTGGATGACACTGACGACTGCCACCAGTGATCCGTCAAGTGGGCAATCGCGGTGGAAGTTTCTGAAACCCTTTAACATTACGAGTAGCAACTGGATACTGTCAAAGTGGGACTTCGCATAACGCGAGTAATGTTAGAAAACAAGTCCTTCAAGCAGACGACTCGATGATTCTCTCTTCGTTGCGCAATTCTTGGCGGGACGCCAGGGGTCCCCTTTTCGCTCGCTTCGCGCGGCACGGACTAGGATTGAGGAGTCCCGACTTTCCTCTCCTCGTGGGAAGAGGGGAGAGAAGAAAGGCTTTTTTCCAATTTCCGCGCGCGCGACGACGACAAGCGACGAGGACGAAATCTTTGCAAAGTGTCACCCATAAAACTATCGCTTCAAAAAAAAAAAAAAAGATTTTCATACAAAGCTTTTACCTGGCTTGAAAAATGTCCTATACAGCTAGCACACCTTGAGAAATGCCTGCTTTATGAGCGCAGCAAAAATCATTAACAGAACCTGTCATGCATTAAATCTTCCTATTCTGATCATATTAAACAATCTTGAGGAGAAAAAATATTGAATATTTTGCACCTCTAAAATTTAAGCACCGCATAAAATTTCAACCTTTGAACATGTATAATGCGCGGACTACAGTCCGGAAAGGACGACACTTTATTCGCTGAGGGATACGTCCCACTAAAGAGGCAAGCAAGAAAACACTGACTGCAGACGAGGCAAACAAGCAAAGTTAGAAGCCTTTGGCCTCGAAATCGACCTAGAGGTGGCGCTACAGTCGCGCTATTATCATCATCAAAGCGGGGACCAAAGCATGGCCGCTCCATACAGCGGCGTATTAACTTGTTTTTGAGGGGGGGGGGGGGGGGGGCCAAACCAGACCCCCCCACCCCACCAGGGCCGGGGAGCGGTGCCCTTGGAATCCCTTGCGCGCCGCCGGCCCGTGTTCGCCCTGCCCAGTGGCGGCTGTTCTTGGGGGAGCGGGGGGGGGGCAAAACACGTGCCTTGCCCCCCGGCTGGTAGTCCAAGGCTCCATAGGCTCTCCATGTTCGCGCTTGAGACAGTGTAGATTCTTGCGTTTACTTTGTCGCATAGAATCGGTAGGAAAACAATTTTAGCGGAGTAAGGTGTGGTACTGTTTGGTGCTTCTGTGACGATCGAATCGTGTTACCAACATACGGCCTAAATTTAAATAATCGCTCGTGGGGATTCGTTGTTTGCTCCAGATAGACGTTGGGAAGCATGAATCACCATGATGGATTCATGTTTCTGGGTGAACTGCACAATTTATGCTAAACATTTGTTTATCTTAAAATAGATGTATCGGTTTACCAGCGTGGAAATTCAACAAAAAAAGGAATTCCAACTCGAATACTAACATAATACTGATCACCTGGGTTGTGGAATTGCAGGCTCCATGCATTTTTTTTTGTGCATAATTTTTAGTTTTTGCCATAATATAAATATTTTGCATAGAGTGCTGTATTGGAAACTATCGAGCTATTGCTAGCTTCTTTAAATGAAGAGTTTCGCTGCAGTCAATTTTTTGTTACATGTTTTGTGGTCTGCGTAAGTATTTCGCAGTGGGAACAATTTCACTACTTTTCGGTGAGGAGAGAGGGCATCTTAAGGCCCGTTCACTCTTGCAGAGTACGACCGAGAGAGACGAGATCTGTTAAAACTTCTCAAAATCTCTTAGGACGAGGAAACAGACTGGCATTATGGAGCCATCTATGCGGAGACCCTGGAACTGCATTTCACTAGAGCGAAGGTTTTGCGGGATTTCCGAGGTCAAATGGGCGTAATATATATAAGAAAGGCTCGTTTTCAACGTTGACAAAAGGTTTCGAGCCAAGAAAGAAAGGATAATGCGCGAGAGAAATAGAAAATATGCCGGACCGCCAGTTTACACTACTACCCAATAGATGGCGCTAGTGTGTCCTCTGGTTGTAAGCAGTTTTAAGGCACCCAGTTCTAAGAGGTCGCAAGAGTGTGAACGGGCCTTTATAGTTACGATCCGCAAGCTGTTCGTTCGTAGGACAACGGAACAAGTGAAACCAACTGGTCTAATATATCAGCCGTGAGTGGAATAAACGTGTGTAACCGGGCAACGTTGCTCTTTTCGGTAGTGTGGGTTCACCCGCTTCAATTTTCTCGAGGAGGGCCGCGGATCTCAAGAGAATATTATCATACCTGTTAACCTGTGGACTTTCAAATTCGTAAAAGTCGCGCGGCTGAGGCGGAGGGGGGGGGGGGGGGGGGGGGGGGGGGGGGTTACGCGAACCGATGTGCAGCTTAATGTCAGCCTGGCCAGCGTGCGAAACGCTTACATCACACGTGAACGTGCTACACAATCCAAACTTCTCTCGCTTTTTGGGCGGCACGAAGCAGGGAAACTTCGACGTGTAGGACTTCAGGAACACCTGAAAGTACCTCTTTTGAGGTTTCGAGCTCGGCATTGCGCCGCGAAGCCACAGTGACCAGGAGAATGCTACAGTTACACGTGCAACAAACACAGACGCCGTACTTCTCGCCTCGAAACTGGCCGAAACAACGAGGCCCAACAACGTCTGAACACGCCGAAAAACGTGCACCTGTGCACTGCCAAACACACGAACAAAGGCTTTGAGTTTTGGATTGGTTTTCGATCCGTGGCCACCGGATAGACGAATAGTGAAAATCACGACGCTGCTGTGGACGGTACCTATCGCCCTCTTGTGGCGGTGCAAGATACCACGAGCAACGTAGTTACAAAAACAAAACAAAATATATATATATATATATATATATATATATATATATATATATATATATATATATATATATATATATATATATATATATATATATATATATTTTTTTTTTTTTTTTTCGTAAGATTTGAAGCAAGATTTGTAAAATTAGTCCCAATTCGTACGTATTACGAAAAATTCGGAAGAGTTGGCTGGTATGTAATATTATAAATTTATTGCTAAATCATCTGCGTTTTTAACCTAGTAGACTGCAAATCCAACAAACGACCCGCACCAAGACACAAACAGCATCGGCCGCAGCGCAACTATTAAGGAAAAGAAAGCCCGCTTTAGTGCCTAGCGTTTTTACACAGGATTGCACACTAAACCACTTTAGCACGCTTATGATTGTCTTTGATGGTGATTACTGTTTAAATAATAACTTAAAAATCATTTCACTTTATAAGGCTTGCCGTGTTCTTATTTCTGTGGGCGTCACAACATGAAGTTTGAAACGGTACTGCAGTATGCAATTTATGGCATTGTAAAGAAATGTAGTTTTAACGTCTTTCGTGTAGTATCACTGGAGAAAAATCAACGGATTTATCAATTGATTAGCCTGTTGGTGGCGATCAGTCGAGTTAACTTTTTAATCAACCCACAGCTCCAATCAACACTCAGTGTTTTATGAAAGCTATGGTTTGTGCGAGATCACAAGATATTTAGGACCGGCTGTTCTACAAACCACATCACTAAGATTACGGGAGCATCCGACTTTATATTAATCGTTTTGCTTAATTTCCACTCGTGTGAAACGATACAGCACAACCTTTAATAAGAAGAAACGACAAAAAAAAAGCATTTAGTGAGGAGGGTTTAACTCAGTTGGAAACGGGCTTGTGTCGTCGAGATCCATGCCTCTGAACGTGCGCCCATAGCAGACGACACACGGCGGAATCGTCCGCTTACGCGTGTTTCCGATTTCGGCCGCACGGTGGCGACGGCTTCGATCTCGCGAAGGCGTCTCCAAAAACTGGTGTGTTCACCGCGTCCAAAAAACAAAACAAAAAGTGGTCCCTCGATTTCCACCTGATGACGTCACAGATGTGTCATGCCATCGCCGACCGCGATCCTGGCGGCGTGTCCCAGCAACGGTGGTGGACGTGGCAGACCACTATTGTGCTGCAAGTCGCTCTCCAGATGGACAGAATACGAAAGCTTCGGCAGCCAGGAGTTTGCTTGGGACGTCGTGACGACAGTGACACTTAACGTTTGGTCGTGCTTTTTTGGCCAGCGTTTCTACGACCAACCGCCAGGATCGTGATATACGACAGCGTGACACTCCGTCCTTTGTGACGTCATTGGTTGCCATTTCGGGACGGACAGTGTTCGATGCACGGGCGGAATAAACAGACGGGCTTTACGCACCGTACTTCAGCCTCGTCGGCTCACAAGAGATGTGAGAAAGCGGCGCTGGGGTAAAGTGAGTCAACAAAAATATCAAAATATTTTTTTTTTGATTGGGGACACATATTGGTGCTCGTCGTTTTAGTGAAACTATGCCATAAGAGTATATAATCAAACTCGGTGAGTGAATTCTAAAATATTTGAAAGCGGGCGTCTTTTGATGTCAGCGTCAACGGTTCTACATGTACGAGCGACCCTGAATCACGTATGAGACGCAACTTGTGGGCGCTAAAACAAAATAGTACGCAGTAGTAAAGTGTTAATATCTGTGTACCTACTAAATAATCAAAATCAAAAAGCCACCTGCAACCAATTCGGCGCGATTATTTTCCTTTACACATGATGTCTTGAAGTTTCACCTATGTTATCCATCGAGTTTTTTTTTTTTTTTTTTTTTTTTTTTTTTTTGTTCACATTCGCCGTTGGCGTATAGCCCATGCACAGCTGTCTGAAAGTGTCCGTGTCTCCTGACAGATCCCGAGGTTCTGGACCGCGAGATGGAAGCGCAGGCTCTGCTGCGCTCCAAAATGGTCCGCTCTGTGTCCTCCATCATGAACGTGGACACGCTGAGCAGTCTGGAGCAAGTGGGCAGTGCCTTGACCGCCATCGCAGGAGACGGCAGCGGCGTCGACAACGAGGGAAAGGTACGCAACCTCCAACGTTTTAAAAAGAAAAATCTATACTTTTTTTTTTATATGTGAGAATGGTTATGTTGCTTAAATAACTCTTGATAGTTGGCCGAAGTTAAAGGACAGCTGGGCGGCGACGGTGTGTATAAGGCCATCCAATACCGCAGGGCACAGCCAGCAGGTTCGATCCACGCACAATGCCTGGACGCCTCTTTCATTCGTTTGTTTAGTGTCCTTTACAGACCGCACATCAAAAGAGGTGACGAAGTGGCATTGAATGACCTCACGGGAGCCGGCGTTTCATGTTATCGAATATCGCGATCATGGCGGTTGGTCCTAGAAGTCCCGTTATAAAGTTTCCGAGCGAACAGGAGTATCGCTGTCGTCGCCGCTTCCCGACTCCTGGTTGCTCAAGCTCGTCATGGACTGTCAAACTGGTGCGTGACCTGCAGCAGAACAGGCGTGTGCGGTATCCACCACCGCTGCTGACATCATTACGGACGCGGTTGTCAAAATAACACTTCCTTGGAGTCATCAGGCGGAAATCGTCAGACCCCTTTTTTGGACGCGATAACATAGGATTAACTCGTGTTGGTCAGTGCTCCTAGCCACGGCAAGGCCATACCACAGTCGTCGGAAATGTTTACGTTTGCTGAGTAGGCGAACGTTTAAATTTTTGAAAAGCAGTACAACAGACCGGCCGCCTTATCGTGTGTGGGAAAACATTGAAGGCCGATGAACATATGGCAGTGTGTGCACTCTGTCCGGCCGTCCCAAACAGGTGAGCCGCACAAGGTGTCCGTCCAGTTCCGGCAGGACAACGCTCGGCGGTTCGCAGACAGGCCGGTCAAAGGTTCATGGTTCCCTCCCGCATACCGCCGCAGTTTTTCTCCACGTACTAATAACGTCATCGGTGTGTTTTGACGTTTGATTGGTTGCTTTTGTATATAGAAATATACCTCTGCTCTGTATCGTGTTTTCCGCAGTCGGGTTCGCTGCGAACCCGGCAAACCGTTGAGCTTGGATCCTCGTAGAACGGACTTTTGCATCAGCCTTATGCAGCGACTTGTGCTAATAGTTTTGGTAGATCGTCCCCATGACTCCGATAACGATACCCGGAAATTTGTGCGCACCACCGCACCGGCGAGACGTCAGCGAAATCGACGCCGCGTTGCGGCAACGCTGAGAGGCTCAGGAGAGGAGGTCGTTTCGGCTTTTTCGTCTGCTATCGCGGCTTGGTTCTGGTAGACAGCATAGAAACATACATCGTTTCCAGTCATTTATTTTATGCTTCCGCCCTGCCATTCCTACGACGCACCGACTAGGTTTTTACCGCCAAAAAATTGCTTGTGCTTTTATATAGACCTTTTCCACAGGGGCGCCGCCATCTTGAATTGTCGTCACTTAAAGTATGGGCGACGACAAAATAATAAAACGTTTCAACCTGTAACCAGTAAAAAAAATAGAGGGGAGGCAAAACGAGGATGTGTGGCGGTTACGTTTATGTCCTAAATGCCTTCTATTGGCGTGGCGACGGCAAAGTAATGTTTTCGCCCATACTGGAAGTGACGACAATTCAAGATGGCGGCGCCCTTGTGGAAAAGGTCTATATAACACCAATTTTACGCTGAAGTGCAAGAAATTTATGGTAGTCTCGTGCTGAACGACGAAAAGAATTTCGTCTGCCATTTTGCCTGACCCGCTGGAGTCGCGAATAGACCAGTGTCTGCTCTGTTCCATGGGCGCAACCATGTTTGTTTATGCTGGGGGGGGGGGGGGGGGGGGGGGGGCTGCGCTTTTTGTTTAGAAACATTCGCAGATATCATAACGCAAGAACGTCAGAAATGCATAGTCACGAAGTTCCAAGAACACCGATGCCAAAGGCGTTATACTCCGTTCCACCTTCAGTCCGAGCACAGTGGATGCCACGAGCTATTCCAGCCGATCCAGCGCAGTGAGAAAGTCGCGTGACCTGCCGGTTGGGCAGCGCGACACAGGGAGCTCAAGGTCGCATGACACTCTCTCCGCGCTGGATTGGCTGGGATGGCTCCTAGCGTGCGCTGCGCTCGGACTGAAGGTGAAACGGAGTATAGTAAAGAGCAAAAATATATATTTTTTTTCATGCGCAGCCCCTCCTTTACACGATCCTGCGTTTGAGATTATTATTTCCCATTTTTATCGCTGGGGGCTAGGATTTCGAACACTGATCTATACAAGTCCCATCCGAACACACGTGCCCAATCTGGGCCCTACGATGGCGGTTTCTTCTACCGCGCACGCAATTTGGTTGTTGACGAACAAAGTGGAATGCAGCTTGGATTTTTGCTCAGAATATAGACCGTTTTTAGCTCATCTTCAGCCTCATCTAAATAGTCCTCGACTTTGTGCTTCCAAGACTTATAAAATGCACAGGGACTGTATCAAACAATAGACAATATATTTTTGTTTAGAGAACATTTTGCGGTAAACGTTTCAATTAAATTACCCGCGTAGTAAGATCATAGGCGACAGGCTAATTAATAATGTATTAGAAACTCCACCGCGGCCGGCGTTCATGGCTTTCCGTCGGGCTTTGCGTGCGTCAGTGTTAGCAAAAACCAATTTGCACTTGACTGATTTCTAAACCTTTCACGACGAAAAGGCGATTTAAATCACGATACTTGGCATGTTCTTTCATCGGATACATCCTTGCGGAAGACAAACTTCTGCCATTCTTGTCTTACCATTCATGATTATTTTTTACTTTTTTATTTAATTAAGATAATTGAAAATGATGGTATAGGCCACCTGTCGGAAGTATGCTAGAGTCAACCAACGAATTGAATCTCACATCACCAACAAAGAGTCGGCGTTAGTTATGCAAGAATTGATGAGCACACAGTGTATTATAGGTGATCACGAATACACACTGAAGCAGGAAGAACTACACAGGCCATAAAGGGAAACAGTTTGAGAACGAAGTTTATTTGGACTGTAAATAGTCATGTATACACCGACACGCGGGCTCGACGTCACGGAGCTGCGGCGGCGCTGCGATCGCGCCGGAGCCGGGGGGTGTGGGCAAAAGCGCGCACGTTTCGCATGGGCGTCATAGCATTTCAGCATGCCGCGAAGCTGTGTTGCCGTTAATTGCACCGAAATGTACAAGAAAAGCAGCGGAGTGAGTTTCCACAAGTTCCCGGCAGACTCTGAAAGGCATAGAAGGTGGATAATATCCGTGAATCGAAAAGAATAGTCGCCTCGCGCGAACGACCGTTTGCGCGGCAAACACTTTCTTGAAGGCAAGTGCGGCTTCCATTTCAATCTCGGTCCCGAGGCTTGCTTATGTGCAATGAAACCGTTGTCTGATCGAGATCACCCGGATTTTGTTCCCATGGTGTTCGCGCACAAAGCACCGGCCAAGCGCTCGTCGGAGGCTCGTTACGCCCGTGCTACCCAGCAGAAGGGGAACAGCGACAGAACGGCAGTGTTGTAGGCGTTACCGAAAAAAAAGTAACGAAATACGTTACTCGTTACTTGCAAATAAAAGGTACGTGTTAGTGAGCTACGTTACCTAAAAATAAAAAGAACGCGTTACCGCTACCGATAAAAAGTAACGCACGTTACTTCTGATTCTGCGTTACTTCTTTAAATTATGATTTAACACATTTTACGGTTTTGACGATACAGGTCATATATCAAGCAGAAGCTGAACATAAATACTTTATCTCTTTTTATGGTTTCACCTAAATACTTACGTGAAAAAACGCAAAGAAAACATGGCTTGACGCCTAAAACACGGAAACAATTGAAGTGTAATTTCTTTAAGGCTTGGGAAGTAGTAACGACTAACGTAACTACGTAACTTGAAATAGTAACATAAGTACGTTACCCATTACTGTGTCGAAAACGTAACGAGTAGGTTACTACGTTACTGAAAAAAGTAACGCGTTCCTGGTAACGCCGTTACTTGTAACCTGTTACCGCCAAGACTGCAGAACGGACAAACCTTTACTGGCTGTAAAGCCTTGTGGTCACGAGGGTATGAAAAATATCATACCTTGACTTGAAGACGCTCTGTGTATTTAATCAATTAATGAATACACACACTTCCGCAGACCCACAGTCTGCTGATCCCGCCGGCAGTGCGGAAACCGACTCGATGTAATCGTAGGCCTCGAGAGACTTGTAGGCCTGCACCGTGTGGGCCTTGAACTGGCTCGGCGAAAACTAAATAAACGACGACCTGAGCCGTCGACTTCCGTGGCAGCAACTTTACGTCGGAAGTCCAGCACTGTTTACGGCGTACGGATCCTCGCAGGCAACGCCGTCCACGCACAGTTTGTTTCGATACCGCTACCGTTCAGGCTTGGGCAACAAGCTCAAATAGTCGGGCATAGCATACGACATACGTTATGAAGAAATACGACGCACAAATAAAGATACAAGCGTCCCTACAACGTCAACAACGAGCGCACGCCATGGAGCGCAATGGCGAAAACACGGAGAGGCGGGATGCTTTTGCCCACATAGCTACCGCGCATGCGCGGCCTTCCGGCCGTGTTGGTAAACAGAGCCGCTCCGCGTGTCGGTCTATACACTAAAAAAAATATCACTGGCTTCGCAACTTGAGGACCCAAAAAAGGTCGCAATATCTCAACACAAATGACCTCGGAGAACATCGGCAGCGCATACAAAAAAAAAAGTACGAAGCTGCAACAATAAATTGGCGTCTTTAAAAGACGTATACAACATCCCCAAGACTAGGGAAAAGAATCCCCAAAAGGAGGCAGTAATCTCACCGGCGGTTGAAACTGGATTTGATCTCATTCACCCGGTTTCAAAGTCAGCTTACACCCTAGTTACACGGGCGCTCTCAACTGCCATTAGGCAATTGCAGTAGACCGTTCCCGGAGCCCACTAAGCACCCGGATAGCGTTCCGTAATCCGCCACAAGACCGTGACTATGCAGAAAAGGCTGGCGGCGCGCATGCGCAGCTGCGGCGTTTTCTTCAGGGATACCGTAGCGGAGGAGA